TTTTTTTTTTTTTTTTTTTCCCTCTTTGGGGGCTTACCACCCAGGTCCAAATAAATATATGGAGTATACTTATATACTTATAAGTATATAAGTAGTCTTACTTATAAATGCCCAGCCTTAGCTTGGCTTGTTTCTAGCCAGCTTTTCTTCTTAGCTTAGTTTATTCTGTCTACTTTTTGCTTCCAGGCTTTTATCTTTCTTTATTCTATGCACCTTCCTTTGCTTTTTGCTCTGCATCTGGCTGTGTAGCTGGGTGGCTGGACCTTGGTGTCCTCCTTTCCTTCTCCTTTTCTCACTCTTCTCTTGATTCTTTTTTTTTTCTTTTTCTTTTTTTTTTTTTTTTTGGTTTTTCGAGACAGGGTTTCTCTGTGGCTTTGGAGCCTGTCCTGGAACTAGCTCTTGTAGACCAGGCTGGGCTCGAACTCACAGAGATGCGCCTGCCTCTGGCTCCCAAGGGCTGGGATTAAAGGAGTGCGCCACCAACGCCCGGCTCTTCTCTCGATTCTTCTCCTATTTCTTCTCTCTTCCTGGCAGCCCCGCCCAGCCTTTCTCCTGCCTAGCTACTAACTGTTCAGCTCTTCCTTAGACCAATCAGGTGTTTTAGACAGGCAAAGTAACACAGCTTTGCAGAGTTAAACAAACGCAACATAAAAGAATGCAGCACATCCCTGCACCATTAAACAAATGTTCCATAGCACAAACAAATGTAACACATCTTAAAATAATATTCCGCAATAAGGTCTCATCTCCACTCTCTCCTCACCAGGGCTCTGATGATCCAGCTTAGCCGTGCCTTAGTTACTCTGCCCAAGCACTACTTGAACTCTTTTGGTTGAATGTGTGCGCTGCAGAGGGTCCGCTTTCTACCTACCAGGCCAGTCTTCTATTTCTGGCACTGGATGGTTGCTACTGTTGCTGCATCACAGCCGGAATACGCAGTGGTACTGGTTGTTTTTCTTTCGCTTGTTGGAAAACACTCATTAAGAGACATTTTGATGGTGCTATTGGCATGACTTTTGCTTCTGACTGTGTGGCTGTCTTTAGATCTTGAGCATCAGCAGACAAGAATTCCAGTGTCTCCTGGGGCTGTTGCCTTTGCTTATTCTGGGAAGGGTCAATGATATGGCTCCTATGGTGGTTTGAGTGAAAATGGGCCTGTAGGCGCAAATGTTTGAATGTGTGGTTCCCAGTTGGAGGACTGTTTAAGATTAGGTGTGGCCTTTCTAGAGTGGGTATGCCATTGGGGGGTGGGCTTTGAGGTTTCAAAAGCCCATGCCTGTAGGGAAGACACCCTAGCCCCGCCCAATAGTCCTGGGACAGGTACCAGGTGGACCCGGGACTCGCCCATAAGGGCATGGTGAAGGAAAGCCGGGGTGACGTAAGGGAGCTTCTTAAGGGGCTGCACGTGGGGACCTTTGCCCTTTGTTGTTCTGGCTGTGCTTGCTGGGTTCTATAACCTAGCTCTGGCCTGTGTTTTGCCTTGGTGTCTTCTTATATAAAGAGACTTTAATCAATACACGTGGCGCCCAACCTGCCTGCCCACCCGCCATGATAGTAATGGATTAACCCTTTGAAACTGTAAGCAAGGACTCGATTTAAGTGCTTTCTTTTAAAAACTGACTTGGCTGTGGTGTTCTCTCACAGCAATGGTAGAGTAACCAAGGCAACTCCACAGTAGCTTGACCCCAAAGCCCACATTTGTAGCTAGATGAGAAGCAACTAAACTCCAGTGGTAGGAAGGTACCATAGCCACCATCCCTGGAATAGGACATGCATTAGCACTGTCCGTGGTTCTAAGACGTCGTGGTGCTGTGAGAGCAGATGCAGTGTTGGGTTTTTGGGGGAAGCCTAGCCATGTGATTCCAGGCAGCTCCCTCAGCTGGGCTTAGTGCCTGTGAGGACTGTAGAGATCCCCACTGGTGAGGACTGTAGAGATCCCCTTAGAGTGATGAGAGCTGTTGGTATTCTCTTGCATAGCTTCCTTTTCTCACAGGGAGAAGTCTCTGTTGGTTCTGTACTGATCTTGGCTTTGGAGGCCAGGTATATCTATCTCCTTGTGGCCAGCCTCAGTTTCTGTGCTCTCTAGGGTCACCACTACTCCCTTGATGCACTTTGGCATACTCCCTAGGTACTTTCATACAAATTCAGTTGGTTTTTGTTGTGGTGGCCAAGAGGGCTTTTGGGCAGCCATCTTGCTGATGTGTAAGAAATCTGTCCATATTTTATTTTCCTTGGTGCAAATTCAGAATTTTTGTTTTTTATCTTTGCCCCCCTCATTGTCCAGCTGAGAGCTGATATTCAAAGATAACATTTCCAATTATTAACTAATTTGTCTTCTTTTTTCTCTCTTGCCTAGAATGTCCTCAGCAGGAGAGTGACATTGTCTTCTTGATTGATGGCTCTGGTAGCATCCACCCCAGAGACTTTCAGAAGATGAAGGAGTTTGTCTCAACTGTGATGGAGCAGTTCACAAAGTCTAAAACCTTGGTGAGGGGTGGTGGGCAGCCCTACATAAGGCTGACAAATTCATGACAACTAGGCTGATGGATTGATACAAAAGTGGGATTTGGCAAATCGATGATTGAGTTACTTCACCATGCTCTTCTCTCCTGTGCTTGTTGCAATTTTAGCACTCTTTTGGCCCCTGTCAAGTAGGTGGCCCTGATTAATTGACAGGGGGAAACCCACATGTCATTCTTGCTGAGCCCTAGAATTGTCAAGAAGATGTGTACATCCCTTGTTGGGGACATGGGTATGGGCTTTTTCTCTGGTGTAATGCCAGGTGCCCTTTTCCTAGTTCTCTTTGATGCAGTACTCTGATGAGTTCCGGACTCACTTCACCTTCAATGTTTTCAAGAAAAACCCTAACCCAAGGTTACATGTGAACACCGTAAGGCAGCTGAATGGAAAGACAAAAACCGCCTCAGGGATCCGGGAAGTAGTGTGAGTCTCTCCATCTTTGTTTTTGGTAGAAGGAGACAATGACACTTTAAGCAGGCCTCTGGAGGATTAGACAAGCTGCTCAGACAGGGACTGGGTGAAGTCTTTTCCAGAGGGCAAAACTGTTCATGTAAACACAGAGTGCAGTTGAAATGAACACTTGAAATTAGGCAGCAAGATCATGGCTGGAAAGATGGGTTGAATCTATTTTGGGTGTGTGGCCCAGGGCAGAGTGCTTGCCTAATTAATGGAAGGCCCTGGGATTGATCCTCAACACCATAAGAAAAAGGAAAACCAAACCCAAACAACAAAAAGACAAAACAAAAGTAGGTTGAATGCAAGTTGTCACCAAATGCAACTTTTATATAGTCAGTGTGGAACCACTGAAAGTTTTTAGCAGGAGGGAGGCATCTTTCTTGTTTCTAAGATTGCTCTGCCTCTGGTATGTATACAGAGGGGGTGTGGGGCTGGCAGAGTGTGAGAAGATGAGGGGCAGGAGACATAGACAGTTCATGAAGGGCTTGCAATACAAACATGAAGACCCCAGTTCCATCTCTAGAATCCATGGATAAAAGCTGGACTTGGTGGTAATTCACTTGTAACCCTAATGCCAGTGAGAGAGGCATAGACCTGAGGATCCTTGGAAATTTCTGGCTAGCCCACCCTAATAAATAAGCTCCAGGACAGTGAGACATCCTGACTGCTGAGGTGTGAGGTGTGACATCCTGTCTCCATTCCACATTCTCCCCAACACACACACACACACACACACACACACACACACACACACACTTCTTAAAAATTAAGAGCTAGAAAGCTTGTATAGTGTTCTGGGTAAGATTTAATGATAGACTAAGGAGGTCTTATTTCTTTACGTCTTTTCTATATTTAGCAGTCAGTAACAAGGAGCCTGCTTGTGGTAGTGTATAACTGTAATTCAGGAGACAGAGGCAGGGGCATCACCAATTTGAGGCCCAGCCAGACTCTGTGTTCAAAACATAAAAACAAAACTGGTCAAACTCGGGGGGGAGACAGCCCCACCTAGATAGACAGCTCAGCTGTGTGTGTGATGGTGACTCTTCAGCTGTTTCATGCCGGGTGCTAACATCTCTGTCTCTGTTTGCCATCTCTTCTCTACACAGAAGAGTACTGTTTCAGAAAGCTAATGGGGCCCGGGAGAATGCTGTGAAGATCCTAGTTGTCATCACAGATGGAGAAAAATATGGAGATCCCTTGAATTATGAGGATGTCATCCCTGAGGCAGACAGAGCAGGGGTCATCCGCTATGTCATTGGGGTAGGAAATATAGATATTGGGCCTGGTACTTCTGGGAAGATTTCCTACCAATGTGTCCTGTCTTCAGTTTGCAAATATTGGTAAAATTAAAGGGAGCCAAAGGTCATTGCCAGGCCATACACACTGCTACCACTTATCTGTGCCACAATAATGCTGTATATATAACAAATGATCCCAAATTCAGTGGCTTAATATTTTTGGTTGTGAGCTTAGCCTTTAATGGCCGGGCCATCTCTCCAGCCCTCAGTGGCTTAATATAAGTCATTTTGTAATCTGGCCAGGTTGTTCTTCTGGTCTCAGCAAGGCTCACTTATGTCTGCCATTAGCTGTGGGCTGGTGGGCAGGTCTGCTGACCTTGCCTTTGCTTTTTCCACTTCCGGGTGACAGGTGTGCTTATCTGCTGGGCAGATGGCCTTGCTGGGAACAAGATGGGCAATTTAGCTCTACTGTTCCCTGGGTCTCATTCTCCAGTGGCCTCACCTGGAGATGCCCTTAGGATAAAGGCAGAGGAGAAAGGAAGTAGATGTTGTAGGCACTTTTTGCTAGCTTATGTTAGCATCACATGTGGTAGTGATCATGGGCTGAAGTAGAGACAGTGAGCAGGGCTGGATACTCCAAGAGTGGGTGGGTGTGGCAAAATTTGGGAAAAAGACTTGGGTACAGAAAGAGGTGAAGTGTTAGGATTGCCAGTGTTGTCACACTTGCACGCTACCTGTATTACATAGAAAAAGGCAAAAATTCATAGTATGGCATGTAAGAAGGACCTTCATATGTAAAGAGATTCTCTTGGGGCTGGAAGGATGGCTCTGTAAGAGCATTTCTAGAGTACCAGCGCCCAGGTCATGGGCTCCTAACAGCTTGTGCCTCCAGCTCCAAGGGGTCTGACACCTCTGGCCTCTAGCACTCGTATACATGGACTCACACAGACACACAGACACACAGACACACAGACACAGACACACAGACACAGACACACAGACACAGACACACAGACACAGACACACAGACACAGACACACAGACACAGACACACAGACACACACACACACACAGAGAGAGAGAGAGAGAGAGAGAGAGAGAGAGAGAGAGAGAGGTCAGTCCCTACTAGGGGGAATGGCAGAACAAAATGGGTGACAACTACATACCAAATTGCTTCCTGTGTTGTGCAAACCTGCCTAACTGTCCCCGGCAGCCCTGTTCTGAGTGCCTTCCGGTGAAGCTTTTATCTGACAGAAGTTTTAGATTCTTTCGTCTAGGATTTTCTTTGCTACATGATACTGCTATCATTGGAGAAGATTCAATGTCTGTTCCTTGGTGACAGGTGGGAAATGCCTTCGCCAACAGAAAATCCCGCCAAGAGCTTGATACCATTGCGTCTAAGCCAGCTGATGATCACGTGTTCCAAGTGGACAACTTTGAAGCTCTGAAGACCATTCAGGACCAGCTTCAGGAAAAGATCTTTGCCATTGAGGGTGAGCCACTCTGGCTCAGACCAGCCCCTCCCACTTAGCTTCCCCACTCATCCTCAGCCATCCCCTCTTCCCACCGTGGGGCTGACTTGCTCCATTCCTTGAAAGAAGCAAAGCTAGATTTCCGTCTCTAATTATCAAATCTAGGCTATAGAATGATTAATCTGTAGCATGGTGGATATACATCCTATACAATAGTTTCCCAAAAATTTGTATGTGCCACGAGCACTGATTTACTGTCTTGTCCCCTCTGCCTAGAACAGTGTGCAGTATGTAGAAAGTCTCTAGTAAATATTTATCAAAACATTTACAAATTGGAGAATTCTTTTCTTTCTTTTTCTTTTTGAGGGATATGCTTTCGAGATAGAGTCTCACCTTGTAGCCAATGATGGCCTTGATCTCTTGGTAATCCTCTTACCTCAGCCTCTTGAGTGCTGGGATTACATGTATTTGCTCCATCACCTGACCAAATTAGGGCATCTCATATTTAATCTGAGTGTGGAAAGTTGGGAGGTTAAATACCTCGAGAACCTCATTCTTCCTTGAGAAAAGGAAAGTCACTGAAGGCCTGCCATCCATGTGAGGTGCACATGTTCAACATGGGAAGATTCCCTTTGTCTGGCAATGATAGCCTCTAAGGTTTTGGTTAGTTGGTCCACATCTTTCTGCTTGCTTTAATGTGGAATGTTTTCTTCCTTGTAGGTACTCAGACAGGAAGTACCAGCTCTTTTGAGCATGAGATGTCTCAAGAAGGCTTCAGTGCCACAATCACGTCTGTGAGTGGTCCTGTATTAAATGGGGGTGAAGATAGGGCACAAAAAGAAAGAAGAGGTGCCAGGGTTTGGGGGCTTTTCCCCATAGCAGGTTCCCCTGGGGAGGCTTTGTTTTGTTTTATTTTGTTTTGACAGGCATCACTGGTCCTTTGTTTCCTCTCTCAATCCTGTTATGCTCCTTTCCCCAGAATGGTCCCTTGCTGGGTTCTGTGGGGAGCTTTGACTGGGCAGGGGGAGCCTTTCTGTACACATCAAAGGATAAAATCACCTTCATCAACACAACAAGAGTGGATTCAGACATGAACGATGCTTACTTGGGTGAGTGAGGAGGGCAGGAGTAGTTTCTGGGAAGGGGTCAGGATGTGATGTCACTCTGCTGATGTGGATGCTGTTGGATCTTTTGTTTGCCCTTGGGATAATTGTAAAGATTTTAAAAAAAATCTAAATTTAATTTTGGTTATGTTCATAATAGCTATCCCATAATAGCAGCAGGGGTGCCTTGATTGCCCCACTTAAGAATGGGCCTGGATTGGGGGAAGGGGAGCCAGGTCTGCAATGGAAAACACTTTGCCTATCAAAAGCATTCTTTTTAGGCTATGCTTCTGCAGTCATCTTGAGGAGCCGGGTCCAAAGCTTGGTTCTAGGGGCACCTCGATACCAGCATACCGGGCTGGTGGTGATGTTCAGACAGAATTTCGATGCTTGGGAGCCCCACACTGATATCAAAGGCAGCCAGGTAAGTGTAGAGCGTTGAAGCATAAGCAGGCAGAGGCACCCTGGAAGTAGGAGTCTAGGGCCAACCAATGCCACGTGCGTGAGGCAGTCTTTGGAAGCCTTTATGTTAGAGAGTTCCAGGTCAGCTTTGCATTTGAGAATATCGTACCTTTGGTTTTTCTTTCTTATGTTGGGATGCTGGAATTTGAACCCAGGGCCTCATGCTTGGCAGACAAATGCTTTACCGAGCTATATTTTCAGTCCTAGCCTGAGCATTTCCAGCAATGACTAGTAATATTTGACCTGCATAGTTTTCTGTGACTACCTGTTTTTCTAGCTGTCATCCAGTCAGGTCATAACCAATACAGTTACATTAGGTATTAAAATACTGAAATAATTGCATGTCTGTTGATGGGTTAGGGAGATAACTGAAATGTGAATTTGATGCCCAGAGCCCACATAAACATAGGCATGGTGACATGCTTGTGATCCCAGTGCTGGGGATGTAGAAACAGGGCATCTCCTGGGTTCCCTGGCCAGCCAGCATACCCTACTTGGTGAGCTCCAGGCCAATGAGAGACTCTGTCTCATTAAACAAGGTAGACAGTTGCTGAAGAATGAGTGTACCAGGCTTTTTCTTTTGGGCTACCAACCAGCTTACAAATCCTGACACAGGGCTTCTTATTAGTTTTGAATGCTTAGCTCGTTTCTGGCTAGCTCTTTTAACTTAAATTAACCTGTTTCTTTTTAGATAAAAAGAAACCTTTTGCCTTGGGGCTTTTTACTTTTCCTTCTTTCTGTGTATCTTACTTTCACTGCTTCTCCTGTCTGTCTGTCTGTCTGGTGGCTGCCTGACTTCTGGCCCCAAGTATCTCCCTTGATCTTTTCCTTTTCTCGTTTCTCCTCTGTAGCCTAGATTTCTCCTCCTCTTTATTCCCCCCAATCCCCTCCGGCCAGCCCTGCCTATCCTTTCTCTGCCTAGCTATTGGCCATTCATCTCTTTCATAATTAAACAAATGCAGCACAAACATGTTTAACAAATTCTTATATCATTGAACAAATGCAACATAAACAAATACAGCACACCTTTATACAGTTAAAGTAATATTCTGCAGCATAAACAAATATGACACATCTTTGCCTAGTTAAAATAACATTCCACAGCAATTGACCCCTGAGGTTGACCACTGGCTTACACACACACACACACACACACACACACACACACACACACCTGCACAAATGCATACCCACATAGGCACGCATGCAGAAATGGACTCATACACACATACACATGCACAGGCACCCATACACACATATACACTAAAATACTGAAGAAATTCCATATCTGTTGATAAATAGCTGTTTCTCTACGATGCCTCAGATTGATAAACTGATGTCAAAAGTTCATGGGAAATATAAGAGACCCAGAATAACCAAAACAGTCTTGAAGAAGGAGACCACTTCCCAATCCCAAATTTATAAGACTGGGCATGGTAGTGTATGCAGAAAATCTTAGTATGCAAGAGGATGAGGCAGGAGGATTACAAGTTTGAGGTCAGGTCAGGCTACACAGTGAATTCTAGACTGAGCTGGAATATATTGTTTGAGACTCAGTTTCAAAAGCAAAATAAAACAACAGCAAAACTAGCTACATGCCCCCAGTTTACAAGTAGATAGAGATAAAAAGCTGGTTAGTAGTCACCAGTGAATGAAGTGGGGTAGTTCTGGGAATGACAACCAATACAAGGTTTCTTTCTGGGGACAGTGTTACAGGTATATAGAGCCAATGGTTACAAAACATGAATATACTAAACACTACTGAGTTTTTTGTACTTTAAAAAAGAATTTGTTATATAAATATTCTCATTAAAAAGGCTATTTTGAAAAGATTCAATGTAATTCATCGTAACGATGGTATAAGAACTATGTAGTCGCCTTAGTAGAAACAGAAATAGAACCTGGCCGACTTGGACATCTTTTCACAATTGAAAACTCCCAGTGAGTTGGGGGCTAGAGGGCATGTCCTCAACTTGAAAAGGGTCATTTACAATGTCTCCAGCTGGCCTTGTGCTTAAAAGTTGGAGGAGAATGTTTTCATTTTAAAATTGTAAACAAGGTGTCTACTACTCTTACTATTTCTCTTTTTTTTCAGTACACAAGTGTGTTGTTGAGCTATTTATTGAATTAAAATCATATTCCTTGCCGAGCATTGGTGGCACACGCCTTTGATCCCAGCACTTGGGAGGCAGAAGCAGGTGGATCTCTGTGAGTGTTGGTGGAGCACGCCTTTAATCCCAGCACTTGGGAGGCAGAAGCAGGTGGATCTCTGTGAGTTCCAGGCCAGCCTGGTCTACAAGAGCTAGTTCCAGGACAGCCTCCCAAACCACAGAGAAACCCTGTCTTGAAAAACCAAAAAAGAAAAAAAAAATCATATTCCTTACAGCAGTGCCCAGAGGCTTGCAACTTAATTTCGATCCCGTCAAGTTGACACCTGAGGTTAGCCATCACATCTATTTTTGTTTTTGTTGTCTGCATTTTAGGGTCTAGTATAAAAAGCAGCCCTGCTTCTGTCAAGGGCTGGACTTGTTCCTTCATGTTTTCTTCTAGTGATTTCATAGTTTAGGCATTACATTTAGGTCTTCAGTACACTTAGAGCCAACCGGATAGAGGTCTATTTCATTCTTCTGCACATAGATAGTTTCCCAAGCAATAACATTTAACAAATGGAATATATATATATATATATATATATATATATAACACACTGAAACTTAATATTACTTATAAATAAATGCTCGGTCAATAGCTCAGGCTTGTTACTAGCTAGCTCTTACAACTTAGCTCATTTCTATTAATCTGTGTGCTTACCTCTATCCTATTTTGTGTGTTCAATTTGTTCTCCATCTGGCTGGTGACTCTTTCACTCCTTCTTCATCTCATCATTCTCAGTTTGGCTTTTCCACCTAACTTTATCCTGTTCAGCTATTGGCCAGTCAGGTTGCTTATTAAAGCAATCATAGTGACATATATATTCACACAGTGTACAGAAGGATTATTTTGCAGCATGCATGTATGCATGTATGTACACACACACACACACACACACACACACACACACCCCCCACCACACCCCACACACACACACACACACACACCCCCCACCACACCCCACACACACACACACACACACACCCCCCACCACACCCCACACACACACACACACACACACCCCCCACCACACCCCACACACACACACACACACACACCCCACACACACGTCAGGATCTTGCTATTCAGCCTGAGTTGTCCTTGACGACGGTCCTCTTGTCTCAGCCCCCAAGCTCTGTGATTACAGGTGTGTGCCCCCATTCTCAGGTATGGTAGACCTATACTATTGTAGTGCCTTCATCTTTCTTCTTTTAGCTCAAGATTGTTTGGATATTTGGGCCTTCTTTTGCTTTCCTATGAATTTTAGGATTTAAAAAATGTTTTTATTAAAACTGCTATTTTATTTCAATATAGACTAATTCTTCTAATTCATAAACATGGGATTTTTTTTCACTTTTATGTTCCTTTCATTCTCTTCTCAATATTTTACATTTTTCGTTCTAAAGAGCCTCCATTTTGTGGTTAAAATCATTCTTAGTTTTTTTTTTTTTAATTTTTTTCTTTTTGAGATAACGTCAAGAGTCCCAGGTTGGCTTTGTGCTTTCTATGTAGCTGAGAATGACCTGAAACTTCTCATCCTCTGTGTCTCTCAAGTGCTGAGATTATAGGCATGTACCAACACCCCACTTATGTCACACTGGGTTTTCTCCATGCTAAGCTAGTACTTTATCTTTTGAGTTGTATCTGCAGGTCTTTTGTTAATTTTTTATTAAATGTGTGTGTTTGTATAAATGTGTTCAGGTTGCCATTTGGAGACCATGGACTCTAGGAGAGACTCTGGAGCTAGCGTTACAGGTGGTTGTGAACTGTCCTGCAAGGGTGATGGGAACTGAACTCAGGTCCTCTAGAAGAGCAACAGACCTTTGTCACTTTTTGATAGCTGTTGTAAATGGTATTAATTTCTTCACAATCATTTTCAGATGGTTCGCTATTGGTACCTAGAATGCTACTGCTTTTGTATGTTGATTCTGTGTCCTTTAACTTTACAAATTATGTGCTCTGACAGTATTTATGGTAGAGTCTAGAATGATGTCTGTAAGTTTTGCTTCCTCCTGTCCTGTCTAGCTGCCCTCGTTTCTGTCTCTTGCTTAATTTCCTTGCCTAGGGCTTCTTCTTCTTTTCTTTCTTTCTTTTTTTTTTTTTTTTGGTTTTTTGAGACAGGATTTCTCTGTGGCTTTGGAGGCTGTCCTGGAACTAGCTCTTGTAGACTAGGCTGGTCTCAAACTCACAGAGATCTGCCTGCCTCTACCTCCCGAGTGCTGGGATTAAAGGCATGCGCCACCAACACCCGGCTAGGGCTTTTTATACTGTGTTGAGCAACAGTGTTGTTCAGATCTTAACAGGAAATAGTTTCAATTTCTTATCATTTGGGGTGGTGCTTGTTTTTGGTTTGTCATAGATTCTGGGGTGTGTGTGTGTGTGTGTGTGTGTGTGTGTGTGTGTGTGCTAGCTCTGTTGACCAGGCTGGCCTTGAACTCAAAGATCCACCTGCCTCTGTCTTCTAAGTGCTAGGATTAAAGGTGCCCGCCAACGTACATTCTTTTACTAATTTATTAGAATTTATTTAGGATTTTTATTATGAAGAAATGTTGAATCTTATAAGATGGTTTTCTTGCATGCCCTGAAATGATCACACAACTTTTCCTGTTTAGTTTATTGATGTGATATATCAGCTTTGTTGGTAATAGTTTCTCCCACCTCCTTGCCTTCTTCCTTCCCTCCTCTTCTCCTTATTCTTCATCCCCCCCCCCCTTTGCAGTATTGGGTAGCTTCATGAGTGCTAGGCAAATACACACTACCTCTCATCTATGCCACCAGACTAAGGGTATCATTTGAAAATGTGCTGTTGGGTTCATTCTGTTAACACTTTATTCAGAATTTTTTTTTTTGTAGCTATATTCACAAGAGGTGTCTGTCTGTATTTTCTTTTTGTTGTGTGCTTGTCTGGCTTTAGTATTAGTGTAATTCTGACTTTATGAAATGACTTTGGAACTTTTCCCTCTCTTTCAAGCTTGAGACACTTGCAATCCCAGTCATTTAGAGGTAGAGGCTTAGGAGTTCAAGGCCAGCCTGGGCTTTAGGAGCCTGTTACCTTCATCTCCAACAACTGATGCTCTTTAGCTTTGTGGGGTGGAGCAATGAGCCACAGGTTTCTCTTTGTTGGAAGTCTTTTTCTTTTTCTTTCTTTCTTTCTTTCTTTCTTTCTTTCTTTCTTTCTTTTTTTTTTTTAACTGATTCACTCTTATTCCGGAGTTTTAGACTGTTCCAGTTCTGCTGCACAGAAGTCTCTTGATGAACTGTCTTCTCTGTCACCATGCTTCTGTCCCAAGGCAGGCTGACATGAGTGAGGCCCATCTAGTCTGACAGGAGTCTTGGCATCCTTCTCTTTCGTGGTCATCATTTGCTTGGAGTAACTTTTCTTTTTCTTCTTCCTTTACTTTCAAGCTATGTCCATAAATCTGCACCTAAAGGTCTAATTTAGGTAGCCAGTAATTGGATTTTAAAAACCCATTCAATCAGTCTTGTTGAGTTGATTTATCAGTTGAGGATATTCATTGCTCTGGCAGAGGACCCAGGTTTGACTCCCATCATCCACACCGGGCTCATAACCATCTGTGACTCCAGTTCCTGGGGGGCCTAATGTTCTCTTCTGGCCTCCATAAGCACCAGACACACATATAGTACACAGACACATGAAGACAAAACACCCATATACATAAAATCAAATAATTGAAAAAGCAAAACAAAACGAAAAAACTCCAAGCCCATTGGGAATTCCATGTTTTGGTTGAAAAGGGTAATTTACTTGTATTTAGCACGATTGTTGGTGGACACTCCTGGGTTCGTTCAGTTTTCTGCTTTGTAGTTTCTTTGCTCCATTCTGTCTCTTATTGTCTTGTTTGGCCTTGATGAATTTTTTTTATAGTTATATATTTTGATTTCTTTCTTCTTTGTGTTTCTGCTTCAGATTTTTCTCTGTGCATAGGAGGCTTACATAAAGCATCTGACAGTTATAATTGCCTATTTTTAACAAATAACAGTTTCATGCACATTAAAATAAACTGCTCATTAACAGCTTCTTCCGCCACTTTTTATGTTGTTATTGTTGTAATTGATGAAGTAATATTCAACAAAAGTGCAAAAGATGTAATGGAGAGGGTTTCCAACAGGGACAGTGGAGCTGACAATCTAAAACAAACCGTCTCATCTCATGTCATGTGAGCCAGATCCAAAGAAAAGGCAACTTCTTGTGAGATTTAACACCCACTCACCACACTAGTAGTGCAACTCAGCATCACTGAGGAGAAAAGGAGACAGATATTCACATAGAATTCTATGTGCAAATGCCTGCCATTGCTCTGTTACTAATAATGACAAACTGGAGGCAATCTGGACACCCTGAGCCGGAGGATGGAATAGCAAACTGTGGCACACCCATGCAGCAGAGTGCTCATCAGCAATAGAACGGTGTGTTACTAATGTATGCAAATGATATGGATAGATTTCAGGTGAATTATTCCAGGTGAAAGACAAAGTCTAAAAAAGTCTATACACCATGTAAGCCATTCTTAAGGCAATCTAGAAAAGAACAACTGTCATACAGGGACAGAAAACACCTCAGTGGTTTCTGGGGATTGCTAACAGGGAAGAAGCCAACTGTGAGTTCCATATCCTGATGGTGGCCATGATTATGTGACTGGATGTTTGTCAAAACTCTAAAGCTATATACTAAAACAGTTGAATTTTATTTTATACAAAATTTGCCTCAGTAAACCTGACCTAAAAAATGCCATTGACTTCAGGCCAATCTCCAGTTACTTTATTTGGTGGTCGGTGAGTCTCCTGCAATGGTGTGTGTGTGTGTGTGTGTGGGGGGGGGTCGGGCAGAAATCGTGCTGTCGAGAGTCCTCTGTGCTTTTCCTGCCTGGGACTTCTAGCTTGAAACCTGTAATATATCCCGTTTAACTGTTCCTTTGCTCTTCTTCTCTCCACACTGCTATGCTGAGAGTCCTTGAAGGCACTGTGTCTGCTACCCAGTCTAGTGCTCAGAGAACAAGTGTTTATTGAATGAATAAGTGGATGATTAAGTGGCTGAGTTCTACAGATAAATGGTGCATGTTTACCTTGAGCATATTAAAAAGACATTTTACTTAACACAAAACCTTCTGGGTAGCAAGTTTTTCAGTTCTAGGGACTGAACTACTCAGTGCTTTAAGAATACAGGCCACGTAGTTTACCACTGGGCTATACCTCCAGCCTAATAATCGCGATTTTAGTACAGTCAGATCGATTACGGCCAAATCAGACTTTATCCTTTGCCCTTACAAAGAATTCTAATCTAAAAGGTGTGGTGTCTGCTCTTCTAGAAACTATAATTGTGTTCTCCAATGTAACATCTCCTTTGCTGCCTTAGTAATTTACCTGAAATGCCATTTGGGATAAATCTAAATCTACTGTCCACCGACTTTATGATACATTCCTCTAGCTAGCAGCATATTCAATTGACCGGGCTGGGGGTATAGTTCAATGGTAGACCAGTTGCATAGCTTGTCTGAATTCCTGGATTTCATCCTTACTATCCCCCCCTCATCTCTCTCGCATGCTCTTGCACGCACCTGCATTTTCTTAAAATGTATCATGAATCATGTTTTAGTCACTGTTCTGTTGCTGTGAAGAGACACCACGACCAAGGCAAGCTCTTTAGTTGGGAGCTTTCTTACAATTTTAGAGGTTTAGTTCACATCATCATGGTGGGCATGGTGGCACTCACATCTCTGGAGCAGTAGCTGAAAGCCTCATCCTGATCTATTGACTGAGAGAAAGGGGGAAAGAAAGAAACACTGGGCTTTTGAAAACCTCAGGACTGGAGAGATGATCCAGAGTTTCAGAGCACTGGCTATTCTTCCAGAGGTCCTGAGTTCAATTCTCAGCAATAACATGGTGGCTCACAACCATCTATAATGAGACTGGTGCCCTCTTCTGGTCTTCAGGCATACATGCAGGCAGAACACTGCATTCATAATAAATAAATCTAAAAAGAAAAGGAAAAAGAAAAAAGAAAAAAAAGAAGCCGGGAGTTGGTGGCGCACGCCTTTAATCCCAGCACTGGGGGCGGGGGGGGGGGCGAGTCCCAGCACCCAAGAGGCAGAAAACCCTGGCTCGAAAAACCAAAAGAAAAAAAAAAAAAAGAAAACCTCAAAACCCTCCAGGTGGTGGTGCACACCTTTAATCCCAGCACTGGGGAGGCGGAGGTAGGCGAATCCCTGTAAGTTTAAGACCAACCTGGTCTACAAAGCAAGTTCCAGGACAGCCAGGGCTATTAACATAGAGAAACCCTTCCTTGAAAATAATAACAACACAGAAAACCAAAAAGAAAATAAGAAAAGAAAACCGGAAAATCCACCCCCAGTGGCACACTTCCTCTAAACAAGGCCATTTCTCCTAATCCTTCTAATCCTATCAGAGAGTTCCATTCCCTGGTGACTATGTATTCAAATATTCTAGCCTATGGGGATCATTCTTATTCAAATCACCACAAACATATAGGAAATTGTATGTTCTACAAACAATTTTCCCCAGTAATCGTGGTCTCATTTTCTTCTCTCTTCTTTCAGACAAATTTTATGCCCTCTCCCTATGCAGCCTTGAACTCCTGATCCTCCTGCTTCTGCCTTCTAGGTTCTGGTATGCACCACTATGTCTGGCTTCTTCACAGACAGGAAACTCCTGGATTCTTCTTAGGTGGGAAGAGGTAAGTTATCTTTACCCCATCTCTTTCAGATTGGCTCCTACTTTGGGGCCTCCCTCTGTTCCGTGGACATGAATGGTGATGGCAACACCAACTTGATCCTCATTGGAGCCCCTCATTACTATGCCCAGACTCGAGGAGGCCAGGTGTCAGTGTGTCCCTTGCCTAGGGGGGTGAGTGTTGGGCCGGGTGGGTCTGGGTGTGAGGTGGAGGGTTGCCAGGGTTTTGGGTCTGTCACTGTTTCTGTTTAGCAGAGGGCACAGTGGCGGTGTGAGGCCATTCTCCACGGTGAGCAGGGCCATCCCTGGGGTCGCTTTGGGGCAGCTCTGACAGTGCTGGGAGATGTGAATGGGGACAAGCTGACAGATGTGGCCATCGGGGCCCCAGGCGAGCAGGAGAATCAGGGTGCTGTCTACATTTTTCATGGGGCATCGGCAGTCAGCATCAGCGCCCTTCACAGCCAGGTAAGTCCCTACCACTGACTGTGTACAGCACCGACTTGTGTGATGTGGACCCTCCGATTTAACTGATGGATCAGTTTTCCTGCACTCCTTCCAGTACCTTTAAGACAATAACACTCTTCATAGCTGCCTCAGGGAATCTCCAGTGTAGACGAACTCTCTGTAATGGTAGGTGGTGCTTTGGGTATCCACACTGGACTTTATGGCTGAGGCCTGGGACTGTAGATGGCAAGCTACATGCGTGAGGATGTCAAGTGTTTGGCACTGGCTGTGGACCTGCAGTTAGGCCAGATGGAGAGATGTATGACAATGCTGTACCTTGTTTAGTCCCTTCCTCTGGGATCCCCATTCTGGCTGAGGGAACAAGAGTTCTGTTCTTTCCCATTCTGTCCCAGTTTTATGTTATCTTTACCCCATATGTTCCTATGTCATAGGAAACCCATACAGTTGGACACTTTACAGGATCCCATTGATCTAGGTTTTTTTTTTTTTTTTTTTTTTTTTTTTTTTTTTTTTTTTTGACTCCTGAGTTTGGCCGGGTGTTGGTGGCTCACACCTTTAATCCCAGCACTCGGGAGGCAGA